TTTTTTTGTACTATTGTTTTTGTATGATAAACTATAAGCAGAATTCTGATAATTCTTAAAGCTGAAGAAGTCAAGGATTCTAGATAAGAGGAACAGGAGGAAAAAAAAAAAAACCTAGACCTCATCTTAAACCTGATCTGAACAAAAACAAAGCAAAGCATAAGTAATTCTTGGAGCAAGCTGGACAATGAGAAAAGAGGCAGACACAAGAGTCAGCTGAGAATGAGACCTGCTTCTCCTGCCGAGAGAGTCTTAACAAAAAATACACGGAAATTCAGGAACTTTCATGGTAGAGTGAACACAAAATGCTGTCTTCTGCTGTCACAGTCATGGAAGTTCATTCACCCAAGAAAATTTATCAAATACTTAACAGGGACCTGGCATTCTCTAGACAATGAAAGCATTACTCCCTAGAAACATGGGGAAAAAGTGGCTGGTTTGTATAAAATCTATCCTTGAAGGAAATAGATAAAAATGAAAAGTAAACTACATATTGTGTGTTTTAAGGAAATAAATGGCTAATAACTTCTTAAAGGGGCCTTGTTAAAAGAAAAAAAACAAACAAGAAAATAATAATATAATCTCTCTCTCAAAGGTCATGGGAAGATAAAAATGAGCTAACATGTCTAAAATGGTTAGAACAATCTTTGGCATATAGTAGTTGTCACACACATATATGCTAATGTTATTATATACAAAATATATATTATTAAATAAAGAAATGCCATACCACAAATCCATTCTGGAATTATATAGAGCAAAACCAGTTATAGGTAGATATTACTTGTGCATGTTTTCTTGAACATGGCTTGTTTCTAAATTTGAAGCTGCATTAGAGACTAGACCTCCTGTATTCACTACATAATATTTTTGAAGTTTGGGTTTCCACTTACACAGATGACTTCCCATTGCGAGGATCTTTGAATGTTGTTGTTCTTGTGTTATGATCAACAAAGTACCTAACACCTTCCCGAGTATACCTGATTTCCCAGCCTTCTGGCAGGGGTTCTTCATTTGGTAAGCTGTAAGACAAAAAAATCACAATCATATGGTGGGTATGTTTCAGGTACTTATAGCCCACTGACTCCATCCATCTTCTCATGTGTAATAACTTAAGACTTTACTATACACATACCCTTGAGTTCTGGGGTCTTCCCATTGGGTTGTTTTTGTATTATGATTCACAAAGTAAACTCTGTCTGTTGAATCCACTCTTTTTTCTAAAACATAAAGTATGAATAACATTCAATAACAATTTGATACCTATATACCTTATACATATTTTTATAAATACCATATCAGCTTACCCCATCCTGGTGGTAAAGGTCCATATGGATCATTTTCTGCAGCTAACATTGAAGCCTGGTTGAAAAAGAGGTTGCAATATAAGATAGCAGTTTTAGCCAGAAGTATACTAATATACTAAGCAATTAACAATCATATCTTAGAATTTTTAAAAAATGTTATAAAGGAATATGAATACAACAATTTCAAGAAACAATGTTCAAAAATATTATGAAGAGCAGCCACCAGCTGATATAATTATTAGTAAATCATTTAAAAATAGTGTAGTAAAATCAAAAAGCTAATTTCCTAGTCCTTTTTAAGGAGTAAGAGGAGATGGGTAATTAGAGATAGAGATTATGCCATTTAAAGGAGACAATATTATTTGCTCAAAAATAGGTAAATCATTATAGTATAATTATTCTGCAAAATAATTATTCAATGGTAATATGTATACATCTTGATGAATATTTGATAGGACTGCCACCAGACAGCACTAAATATCCATTTTTATCTTATCTTTCTTGATAATGTAATCACTAGCTTTGTTTGAGGTAACAATGTGCCCATAAGGAATAGTCCACTGAATCTGGATTAGTAAAGTGACCAATTCTAGCCAATGAGGCAGAAGCAGGAGGGTTTCCTTTGCTAAACTGCTAAGCAAATAGGCAGGGGCTTGCTAAGTACAAGGGCCCTGCTACAGGAAACCTCTCCCCTTTCAGTTTACCCTTTCCTTTCATGGCAGAGACTCTGGAAATCAGGCCAAGGGTAGAAGCTCTTTATGTTCAAAATAGCAGGCAAAATGCATGGCAATAGAGGGTGCAGGAAAGATGCATGGCAACAGCCGATAGAGATGGTGAAGGTAATGTGCATGACAATAGATGGTAAAGGAAATCTGCATGGTAAAAGATGGTACTAGTAAAATGCATGAGGAGATGGTGCTGGTTCAGTTGGTGACAATAGATGGTGTAGGTAAGCTGCATGACAACAGACGGTGCAGATAAAGTGCATAACAATAGCTAGTGTAGGCAAGAGGCATGATAATAGAGCAGGCAAGATGCACTGAAATAGATGATACTCTAAAAGGCAGAACTCAGCTGCTTGATGGCACTGTAAGCCAGAGAATGATTCTTTCTTGTTCCAGCCCTGGTATTCTATTGAAGTAGCTTAATTTGCATCCATTTAAGAGGACTGTGCTACTTAGTAGAAAGTATTTTGATACATACCCAATACCTAATTTTGTCCTGTTTACAAACTTTAATGCACACGAAGTCCTACACAGAACAAAACAAATGTACTATATACAGGATGAACATCCTAATCTAAAATCTAAAATATTCCAAAGACAGAAAAATTTCAAGAATGCTTATTTATTTAGACAAACCAGAAGTAATATTAAAGATTAGCCAAAAATAAAATGAAGCAAACAAACTATTGAATGTACTCTACATATTTTAGAAAGCCACCAAAGTAAGGGAAAAGTAACATTAACACCTCTAACACCTTGTAAATTGCTAATTACCGAATAGAGGTATCGTTGGTTGAATTGTTGCATAGCTCCCTGCAATTGATTCCGCTGAGATTGCCACTGTTCAAAATTTCGAACAGATTCCATGGTAGGCCGCTGCCATGTGGTTGTTCTGGTGTTATGATCCACATAATAAACTCTTCCACGATCATCAACTCTTCTTTCCCATCTACCACAAATAAGCAATAAAAATGAAGCAATGAGTCATTTCCTGTTAAATTAAAACATACATATTTTTACTTTATCTATTGGCATTGCTAGGGATGTGTAGGGGACACCATACACACGCCTCCTCCAGGCATTTATCTTTGCTAAATTCCTATTCTATCACAGACAGACTTTCTCCTCGCTTCTTCTTGAGAAACAGTTTTCAGGCACTTTGTCAGAAGGAACTTATCCACCTTTTCAATTTCATTTCCCAGAGTCCCTTAGAGGCCTCATAGGATAGCCCAACCAATGAGTGGCCAGTCCCCAAGTATGCCTTGTGTGTCATCCTGCCATGCTACTCTTGAAAAACCAGAACAGCCCAGGCCCTG